GGGATGATTGTGTGTGGGAGTGTCTGAGTGTATTGTACGTGTTTATTGGTTGTTTTACAAAACCCTTTGGGTGCTACTAATGTGTAAGAATGTGTATATAAGAACAATAAACCCACAGCTCTGTCTGTTCCTGTTTGACCCTCAACACGGAGCATTGTCTTGTTCTAGGGGGTGGGGGATTTATTGTAAGCTGTTCCAGTTTGACTGCTAGGACTGTGTACCTTTCGTATGTTTTTTCCTATTCGGCTGTTTACAGCATTCGTATGTTTGAGAGCATTCATATGCTTCTCCGGTTCGGTGGATTGGTGTCTACAGTAACTGCCTGTATATCTGGAAGGGAATATCTCCTAAATGGCTTTTATGCCTTGGGGTGCCGTTACAGCCACGAAAACACACAAAAAGTGAAACCATGTGAAAGGAGAAACTCCTGAATGGCGAGACCCGTTCAGGAGGAGACAGACGAAAACACATGGGAAAACCAACAAAACTAAAGCAGTGCAGGGGATTGACCCAAACCGCAATGACACAAATGAACTGCAACCATGGCGCGATGGCAGGGTAAGTAACTTACGGCATCGTGGAGTCAAAAAGATGTGCGGCTGAGCCGGAGAGATGGATGAGCCGGAGAGATGGAGCTCAGAACGAAAAATGGCAGCAACACAGAGGTGGATGGCAGGAACGAAAACCATGAGGACCAGGAAAGGAGCGAAGAGGAAAGGTGACCGGAACCAAAGTCATGCAACGCTAAGGAACGAACGGGACAGAGGGAGGTGAGTCGTGGGCTTAAATAGAGGACAATGCCCCTCCAACAACTGCAGGCCAAGCCTTCGCATTTGTCATTTAGAGTTGACTCTTAATAGTTAACATTGAGAATTTTCCAATTTACATCACTTTTCTACTGCTAGTTTTACATGTTACACTTTGATGTGTTTTTATGTTTAATTTATACACTGTGATTACATTTACAATATTAAAAGTAAATGTAACCCCAAGCACTTATTAATCAAAGATTAAAAGGATCACGCAGTGTAAAAATAATTGTTTAGAAAAATGCCATTACAACAATCAATATGAATAACATACTTCTTGACACAAACAATGTACTTTTTTAAAATAAAAGAGTTAATTTTGAGCTAGACAATAGTCCCCTAATAGTACTTCTTTATAAGGGAGAGCTATCACCTTGTCCTTCCAGTCTGTTTCAAATGAAAGATTCACATTCAGGATTAGTCACTTTACAATGGGAAATGTGGATCCACAATGTGATTAGCTGCATTTTATGGAGCCCCTTCCACATCATATGTAACAAGAGCTTTTCTTGCAAAGTCTCATATTATCAAAAAATCTCCAGGAGGGATAGCATGCAATTGTTTCATTCTTGCTGGCTGTACAATATTTGACTTGTTTTAAAAACACTAAAGGCTTGTGTTAATGACATGCAAATATTCCTCACTTTACTATTTAAACTCATAGACAATAGACATGAACACATATCATATCAATTCATTACAAAACATAGGATTCTTACTCAACAATCATTGCAACATGATTCTTGTCGTCATCCAACAAAACAGGAAACAAAGGATGTAGTAGATACACACAATGGATACCCAGCTGAGGTGCCAATACAAAAAGCACATTCATTGAAACACACATAAACCATAACCAATCCAAAATAAGTTAATACAATAGGTAAATACATTTCACACTTTATTCCTCAGAGGAAACACAGTAAGACAAAATTTAGGTTTCTATGCTTAGGACCCATTCATTTTTACAAAAGGTAGTTAAACTGACAAAGGTGATCGATTACACTTGCAATCTTAAACTAACACCTCTAATTAAATATCATACTGCATTTTCTATCTTGGGCAAAACACAGTTATTATTGGGATTTATTCTTGTTTTTACAATTTACAGAGATCCTATTGAACACTCTTGTGCATATTTAGATTTACAGCTATTTACCTTTATAGAGACAATAAATACTTAAGATATAACATCACAAAGCAAAATAAACAGTGTTCATTTTAGAATGGCCATGGTTTTTAATATTGCAGCAATGTAATGATGTCTCCCGCAATACTTTAACATTGCTCCTTTACCATTTGAGTCTGGTAAAATATGCCTCTCAACTCTGAGTTTTGTGTATGACTATCATCACACTGTTTGTTTCATATTCTTTTATTTGTATTTTGAAATCTAAATAAAAAATGTATATTACCAAAAAAAGAAGAAAATAAAACAATTTTTCTTATTTTGGGGAGGTGTTCAGTAAAAAGTAAAAAAAAAAAAGGGAGGAGGGGTAACTCTCGCCTAACTACAGCCACGGTGACAAGGACACAAACTTTGAGATATCCTGTTTCAATAATGTTAGTGTGATACTGGTGGCTATGGTTTGTCCTTTCATACTGCTAGTGACAGCCATGTAACACCAGCTTGGAATAATCAATTTACTGTTTGAAAGGTGTCTTCAAGACAGAATTATTTATTTTGTTTTGTATTTGTGTGTTCATTCCAGTGTCTGAACGTGTGCATGCATTGTGTGCTTCGTGCAGTGTAGTGTGTATTAATGTCAAACACAATAACATTACAGTAGGAAGAGCTACCAAGCATCAACCCATTTTGCAACACCAACACACCGATTTTTGCTGCAAAGACTCATGTAAATTTATACAATACACAATCATAATCAGTCATTACCCAAACATATTACAATAAGAAAAACATACAGGAGGCACATTTTTTTTTAACCAGCCTTTCATGCTGAAATAGCTTGTGTTTTTGTTTCCACTAGCATTGCAGCTCCTTCTACCACAGCTTGTTCAAGTGTTATACCTTCTTGAAGCCCCACCAATAAGCAACTAAGGAAGAAAGCAGCACTTTGTGGGGACCAACTCTTCACCCTTTAGTGAAGAGTTAGAGCAAAATACAAAAGTTGTGTCCCCACTGTCTGATTTTGGTGGTGGTGGCAGTGATGAATGAGGTGATGAGAATTTTGTTTCCCCACCATTATAGGCATAGCAATTTATTTCTGGTCCATGAACTACTCAAAATATGATTATGAAGGGCCAGAGTATTTAGAAGAGGAGGGTCTAGAGAGGCCAAGCAGCAGGCTAGTATTTTCCCGAGCACTGCTGTTAATGTATACTCAGCTCCTGCATGTTCTCCACCATCTCTACATCCATCTTTACCTGCTTTGGAATTGCCTCATCCAGCTAAATGTAGAGGGATTTAGATAGACTTGGGGACTGGGCATTCAAATGGCAGATGGAATTTAATGTACAAAAATGCAAAGTTATGCACTTTGGGGTAAAGAATGTACAAGCAACGTATACCCTAAATCAGGCATAGGCAACCTTTGGCACTCCAGATGTTTTGGACTACACCTCCCATGATGCTTTACCAGCATAATGGGTGTAAGAGCATTATGGGGGATGTAGTCCTCAACATCTGGAGTGCCGCAGGTTGCCTATCTCTGCCCTAAATTGTAGTGAATTGGGGATAACAACACACAAGAAGGATTTGGGAATTGTTATAGAAACAAACTAGGCAACAACGTGCAATATCAATCAGCAGTGGCTAAGGCCAGTAAGGTATTGTTCTGTATAAAAATAGGCATTCATTCTTGAGATGAGAATATAATTTTGGCTTTTTATAAATCACTGGTAAGTAGAGTTGAGCGGACAGCTGGATGTTCGGGTCCAGCGGGGTTCGGCCGAACTTTGAAAAAAAGTGCGGGTTCGGGCTCGAACTTGACCCTGAACTTGACCCCGAACCCCATTGAAGTCAATGGGGACCCGAACTGGAAAGGGCTAGAGGGCTGAAAAAGGAAGTAAAATGGGGGTAAGAGTAGGACAAGTGCTCTGCAAACAAATGTGGATAGGGAAATAACTTAAAATAACATAAACATTAAAAATACAGCTGAGCCATAAAATAGCACTAGTTGAAATCTTTGATTTTCATTTTTGAAGAACATAAATCAAAATCTAAAGCATGCCTGTCAGGAGGATCACCAGAATTATCCATTTGAGCGAGGGTTGGAGTGCAGGGTATTCTCTTTCATTGTTCAAACTGAGCTCAACTCCTGATGCATGGAGAAAAGGACTTCACAAGCCTCTGCTAATGTGTACATAGTTTATACTAAGTGACCCATAGGTTGAGGAGGCAGTGACTGTGGCGGTGTAGGTGGAAGCAGCGGTGGAGGAGGAGGTAGTCAACACTGTTTTTTATATGTATATATTTTTTTTAATTGGGGTAGCCCCCAAAATATTGGGACATATAAAAAAAGACAACTCTGTTCCGCAGAGTGACTGACCCATGCGTGCTGCAGCTGAAACTCCACTATCGCCTGCTGCTGCTCGCACAGACTCATGAGGCGGTGAGCAGGAAGGCCGAAGTTATGCTGTAGCGCAGACAGACGAGCAGCAGCAGGAGATGAGGAGGAAGTGCGCAAGGAGGTGTAACGGCGCCTGGCATATTACTGAGAGCCACCCTCAGAGGAGATTGTCAGCAGGACCTTTTTGGAGGTGCAAGCCCATGTCCTTGCCAATAGACAGAGGGCGACCTCCATGAACCCAGATGAAGGAAGAAGGGCGCAGAGGGCGCCGGGAAGCACAACCACCCTGGCCCACAAGCTACCATGCCTTCAAAGACTTCAAGGAAGCAGAAGAAGGCATTGATGACTTTTTACAAGACTTTGAGCGCCAGTGCCTACTCCAAGACGTGGACCCCAGTGACTGGGTCACCGTCCTGGCCAGCAAACTAGTGGGGAAGGCAGCGGATATTTACCGGGCTGTACCAGAAGAGCAGGTCAGAGACTATCCCTTTATTACCCAAATCCTCCTGGCCCGGTATGCGGTCACCCCCGAGCCATACTGCCGAAAGTTTAGGGAGACCCAGAAAGGGGAGAAGGACTCCCATGCGGAGTGGGCATGCCACATCACAAGGGCCAAACAGAACTGGCTCAACTCCCATCAAGCCAAGTTCCCGGAGGAGATTACCCAGCTCGTCATGCTAGAGCACATTTTCAATGGGCTCCCCAACGACAAGGCGACGACGCATTCGTATGTCATCCATATCAACTTTCGATGCCATTTACTGTGCCTACCATGGTGACCATGGATAATGGGGAATCAGTGTTTGATTCCTGAGAGGGAGCCTGAGAAACGGCTACCACATGCAAGGAAGGCAGCAAGCAAGTAAATGACCCACTCCCGACACCGGAAGGTAGTGGCAACAAATAACAATTCAGGATTCTTTAGTGGCCCTGTAATTGTAATGAGTCCACTTGAAATCCTTTACCTGTGATCAATTGGAGGGCAAGTCTGGTGCAGAGCGACTGACCAGTGCGTGCTGCAGCTGAAACTCCACTATCGCCTGCTGCTGCTCGTACAGTCTCTCCAGCATGTTCAAGGTGGAGTTCCAGCTTGTGGGCACGTCGCATATGAGGCAGTGTGCGGGAAGGCCAAAGTTACGCTGCAGCGCAGACAGATGAGCAGCAGCAGGGTGAGAACGCCGAAAGTGCGCACAGCCGCTACAGTGACTGTCACATCCTGTTCCAAGTTTCGGATCAGTCTGGTGATGGCTTCTGGTATCCAGTACTCTTTTTACTGAAGCTGGTATGTGGCTGCACAAATGCTGGTGATCAACACCAGGGGGTGTGCGGTTACCCTGCACCAGACCCTGCTAATCCATTCCACACTGTGACTCCTAACTTCAGCATAAGGCATACTGGGTACCGGTTGTCCGACTGATGCCCAGACAGTGTCTGGGTCTCGGTCACCGGACTGTGAAACTGCAAATGGCTTGTTAAATCAGTTATGGTTCCTTTTATTGCTCCATCTGTTACTTGGATAACTGTGGGAATACTAAAGATAATACATGTCGATGAGCACTGGGGACGGCCACTCCGCTTTTGCACCCTGCTCCCTCTTATGCTGTGCTGGTGCCTCTGTGCGACCAGCGCCTCTTCCTCCAAACTGCACACGTCACTCGCATGACCTTGATTCCATGTGGGGTCTAGTACCTCATCATCCTCCACATCATCTTCCACCCACTCCTCAACCCTGCCCTCCTTGCCGGTCTGCACACTGCAGAAGGCCACAGCAGTTGGCACCTGTGTTTTTCCAGCATGTAAAGTCTGCAAAGGACATATAGAAATTGTTTTTGAATTGTATCCAGACAACAGTTTTCCCTATAAACTGACCTCTCAGTTTGACTTGTGAGGGTATTGCCCCAGAATTACAATATTGTTATATTGGTATTTGACGGTTCTATTTGACTCTCAGATATGAAGTGCACCACAGGCCGCAAATGTACTATTTAGCAGCCAAAAAAATTGAATGTTTAAAAATGCTACGTCACAGCACTATTTGACGGTTCTATCTGACTCTCAGATATGAAGCGCACGCCCCAAATTTACTATTTAGCAATTTAGCACCAAAACAATTAGAACTGCGCAGTAAGCACACTATTTGACGCTTCTATTTGACTCTCAGATATGAAGAGCACCCCACAAATGTACTTTTTAGCACCCAAAATATTTTAAGTTTTAAAACTGCAATGTGACAGCAGTATTTGACTCTCAGATACGAAGAGCAAGCCCAAAATGTACTATTTAGCAGTTTAGCAGCAAAACAATTTGAATTTTTACAACTGCGCTGTAACCGCACTATTTGACGCTTCTATTTGACTCTCAGATATGAAGAGCATGCCCAATATGTACTATTTAGCAGTTTAGCAGCAAAACAATTATAATGTTTACAACTGTGCTGTAACCGCAGTATTTGACGCTTCTATTTGACTCTCAGATATGAAGTGCACCCCACTAATGTACTATTTAGCAGATTAGCACCCAGAAAATAAGAATGTTTTCAATTGCGCTGAAAGTGCTTCTATTTGACTCTCAGATATGAAGAGCATGCCCAGTATGTACTATTTAGCAGTTTAGCAGCAAAACAATTTGAATTTTTACAACTGAGCTGTAAGCGCACTATTTTACGCATCTATTTGACTCTCATATGAAGAGCACGCCCAAAATTTACTATTTAGCAGATTAGCAGCAAAACAATTAGAATTTTTACAACTGCGCTGTAAGCGCACTATTAGACGCTTCTATTTGACTCTCAGATATGAAGAGCAGGCCACAAAATGTACTATTTAGCAGTTTAGCACCAGAACAATTAGAATGTTTACAACTGCGCTGTAACCGCAGTATTTGACACTTCTATTTGACTCTCAGATATGAAGAGCACCCCACTGATGTACTTTTAAGCACTCAACATAGAAACATAGAAACATAAAAATCTATTCACAAACAGGACTATACATAGGACACGAGGTCATGCATTTAGACAGGAAGAAAGACGATTTAGTCTAAGGCAAAGGAACATTTTGTTTTTACTGTAAGAACAATAAGGATGTGCCATTCTCTGCCTGAAGAAGTGGTTTAATCAGAATCTGTACAGATGTTTAAACAGCAAGTAAAAACATAATATTAAATTATATAATTTTTTTAACTGTAGCGTAATAGCTTCTTGATTTAAGGATCGATTTGATTGCCATACTTTCCCCTAGTTTGTTGCAAAATTGGAAGTGCTTCAGAAGGTTTTTTTGTTTTCTTTTGGATCAACAACAAAAAAAACAAGTATGAGGGAGGCTAAACTTGATAAAAAACGTCTCTTTTTAGCCTATGTAACTATGTAACGTGCAAATTGTTCAGAAAGGAAATAAGTAAAAATGAGTGAAGGGTCATCTCACTAGTACCAGTTTGAAGCATCATTCACAAAGATACCATAATTCTGTATTACTGCACAAATGAACCTTGCACGGAGTGTGGCAGCACTAATGTTGCAGATAGTGTCTTACATCATTGAAGAGAAATCATTTTTTTACATTTTTTTTCTGTGCAAGTGTTGAAGCACAGTGCACTGCAGTGCAGTGTGTGCTTTGTGCACTATGTGCAGTTTAGTCAAAAACAATCACATTACAGTAGTACATAGTAAATCCAAGCATCAACATATTTTTTGCACTACTACAGTGGCAAGTTACTACACTACTACAATGGTAGCAACCCATTTTGTACTATTACAATAAATTGTATTTTTAACAGCAGCGGTAACTTCCACCCTTAAAGGAACACTGTAGTGTTATTAACACATATATGCATTCCTGACACTATAGTGGTAAAATAACTGTTCAAAGCCCCATTTTCCTCACTTTCAAAGGTTATTTTTACTAACCTTTTCTCCCTCACTGCTACTGGCCCTGCTTCGCTCTGCCTCTTTTAAAGCATTGGAAGGCTATTGAGCAGCAAACGTGTGCCAATAAGCATTTCTTTGTAGAGATGCATTAAATTAATCCATCTCTCTGGGGAACATGCAGCGTCTCAATGCACTATGCAGCACTGACACAGGAAGCACCTCAAGTGGACATCTGAGTGTTTACATTAATAAAGCTGCTGCGACAGACTATAGACACCAGAACATCAAGCTGTAGTTGTTCTGGTGTCTATAGAGCGGCACTGTCATGCCAAACTTAGCTTTCCTCAATCGCTTCATCTTCTCTCCCTCTCTCAGGATCTGTTCTTCATTTCTTCCTGTCTGCTCTAGTTTTCTTTAAAACATAAGACAAAGTAGGGACTATTTTGTCTTATGTATTTTTCCTATGCTTGACCAGTTTTTAGCCAGGTGAGGAGCAAAGTCCGCTCCATTTCCTGTGGTCAAAGCAATTTTCCCACAATTATCACCTTCCTCCTGCTGCTTCATTCGGCATTCGAAACGCCGGCGAAACTACAGAATTTTGTCCTAAATGAATGAGAACAGTTTGTCTATTCGTGTTAAGACGAAATTCTGGACTTTTGTTCGGATTGGAATTTCATTTGAATGAATGAAACTCTGATCCTATTCATGCCGCTAATAGATAGCTCCCTAATTACCACAGTCTTTCAGCCAAATTTAGTAATACTAAGTAAATATCACTTAGTATTAGTAATAAATCTGCCCCTATTTTTATTATTGGTATTTATATAGTACCAGCTTATTCTGCAGTGCTATAATGCGAGTAGGGGCATGTCTACTAAAGAGTGAGCAGCCAGTGGCCTAAACTAAATGGGAGAGAAAAAAAACTCACAGGCACTCCAACTTCAAGCCGCAGGCAGATTTATTATGACAGAATGCAACGCAACGTTTCGACCGGAAAGGTCTTTTTCAAGCTGACACCACATGGTGCAAAATGTGCTTATATAACAAACACTAACAACTAAGAAATCAATCAATTACTGCTAATTAGTAGAAATTCTTAATTGATAAAAAGGTAATTTAAAAAGGCATTGTAAAAGAAACAAATATCAAATGTGAAATATTACAATATATACATAAATCAGATAGATAGTGCACACTATATCATTAACTTCATACACACAAGACATGAATCATTCTATGATCATATTAATGCTAGGAATTCTAAAATATATATATATATAGGATAACCTATTATGTCATGAGTATTCCCTGGTTACAAATACTGTGCCCATAGAGGAGAGAAGAAATACATAAGAAAACAGCAAATAAAAAAAGTAAATACATGCAGCGTATCCTCCATGGTATCCAAACGCGACCCACTTCCGGGTCTGTGAACCGCACGTGACGTCATTGGAACGCACGTGCGAAATCTTCCTCCGAACGGATTGGCTGGAGGACCAAACATGACATCGTTCTGTGTTCAATTCACCATTGCACAGCCCACATAGTGGAGTATGTTCACTCTGCCACATCACTATCCCAAAGTAAATCTTCACAGAACATCCTAATCATTCAGGCATGTTATATGGCACAGATCAGGAAAATAAATCTATTAGATGTAATATACAATATAAGTAAATAAACAGGAGTAATAGTTATTCATATAGGAATACCAGAGATGGATACTTAGAATAATCATTATACCAAATAAGAGCCAATTCCATATTAAAGGTACAGACCTCAAAAGTCAAACACCTATACCTGGCAAAGATTAAATAAAAAAGGAGACAGCAAAGAAAATACAGGGACAGTGAATTCCCATATGGAACATGAGAGTCTGTATATATAAGGACAGAGACTATATAGTCTCATTATATTCTCTCATATATAGGCACAGTCAACATCATTCCAGATTAAAGGTACAGACCTCAAAAGTCAAACACCTATACCTGGCAAAGATTAAATAAAAAAGGAGACAGCGAAAAAATAC